TTCATACAAATCAATCCTGCTTGCAGCATTATATTCTACCATGTTGTTGTTTACTATCTCTCTTTTGGACCTTATAAATATTATAAGTACTTTTTAACTTTTTGGTACTTTATTTTTGTACCCTAATTGCATGCTTTAGTTTTTGTTATTTGTTAGTTTTTTTGTTTTTAGCAAGTCATATCGGTTCTTCTCATCTCTAAGCATTTCATTTTACTGTTAGCCCTGTGTTAATCTGCATATGACAAATAAACACAACTTGAACTTCCAGCTTTCTAGATGTCTGTTTTAAAATATGTAACAGAACTGAACCAAGGAGCTCATCTGCTCTGATTGATTACTTTCTTTTTCAGCAAAGCAGTTTTATCGAGTGACGTTTGCAAAGCAGTTGTAAATTTCTCAACCAGATGATCCAAGTCACTGCTCTCTGATGTTACATGGTTACGTGGCTGCATGCACATTTCTCAAGTTGAAGTGAAGGTCTGATCCAGTCTGTGAATGAACGTTGACTGTGATCTGATTCCTTTCTGTTTCTGAGCTGGGTTTCTGATTTGGATTTGCTTTAGTTCCTACAGACTTGGCATGATCTGTTGTGAACGGTTGCTATATAATCAGTCTGAATGGAATTAAATTGAATTTGTACGTGCACATTTCCACATGGATACTGTGGAACCTGAGAGCTTCATCTTGTTAGAGATGGTAAACGATCAGTGATGGAGCTGCCTGTTGGGTCTGAAAGCCGTTAATCAACTGCAGGCAGGCAGCTGCAGCAGGCTAACCATGTTAGCATGGTCAGCATAATATTGTTAGCATGAAGCAGAAGATGTGGCTTCTCAGAGCTCCTCCCTCTTCCTGAACATTTGAGAGGAACTGGTTCAAATCCCGGTCCTGGCTCCAGGGGCCTTTCTGGGTGGAGTTTGCATGTTCTCTCCGTGCTGCGTGGGTTTTCTCCTGGTACTCCAGTTTCTTCCCACAGACCAAAAACATGCATGTTAGACTGATGGTGACTCTAAATTGTCCCTAGGTGTGAGTGAGAGAGTGAATGGTTGTTTGTCTCGTTTGTCTCCATGTGTCCCTGTGATGGACTGGAGACCTGTCCAGGGTGTCCCCCGCCCCTCGCACAGTGATTGCTGGACATGGGCACCGGCGACCCCCGTGACCCAAAATGGAAGAAGCGGGTAAAGGAAATGGATGGATGGATGGATGGATGGATGGATGGATGGATGGATGGATGGATGGATGGATGGATGGATGGATGGATGACTGACTTGGTGATCATTGGACTGGAAGTTAGGAACCAGAGTTATGCAAGAGTTGTTGCTGGTACTAACACAGCAGAAGATGCACCACAGGAAGAACTACAGACTCTGGAGGAGCAAGTAGTGAATTTTTTACAAAACAAAGACATTGACATCGAACATGAGGACATTTCAATCTGTCACACCCTGCCCAACAAATCAGATAAAGCCAAACCATCCATAGTCATCAAGTTCATTAGCAGGAAATCAAGAAACAAGGTAATAATGCAAAAAACTGAAGGGAACAAATGTTTACATAAACGAACATCTAACTAAAAAAAATTGAAACATTGCACGTGAAGCAAGGTGGTTGAAAAAACAGAAAAAAATAGCATCAACTTGGACAAGAAATGGAAACATCTGGATCAAACTACAGGAAGGATCTCAGACTAAAATAATAAAAGACCTGAAGGATCTGGAAAAACTAAAATGAGCTCAGGAGAGGACAGATGATAAATCATTGACACAACTTCACAAACAAGAAATTAACAAAATATAAAATAAACAAATACATTAAAACATGGCAACATACGAAGACTTTAAAATATACAATGTTGAAGATGTGATGGATACAAATTTTTTCCCTGTAATAAAAGACTGTGAATATTACAATGAAGAACAGTTTAATGACATCAATATAACGAATGGAGGTCTCTCTATTATTCACTTTAACAGTAGAAGTTTAAATGCAAATATATCCAAAATAACAGATTATTTAAAACAGCTAAACAGAACCTTTACAATAATAGCTCTGTCAGAGACGTGGCTCAACGATGAAAACACAACTAATGTTCACATGGAAGGTATGAATTATATCATGTGAACAGATCATATGATGAGTTTATGAATATTTTAGGAGCTCTGTATGAAAAGAATTGTGTGCAAAATAATTGTACAAAGAGAAATGTTGTTGACCAACCATGGATGACGAAAGGGTTGAGAAATGCTTGTAAAAAAAAAGAATTATTTGTATACATGTTTCTTGAAACTGAGAACACAAGAGGCTGAAAAGAAATATAAGAAGTATAAAAATAAATTAGTAGCGATTATAAGGAAACACAAGAAGGAATATTAGTGATTTATTAAATAAAAGTAATGGTGATATGAAAGCTACATGGCGAGTAATAAATAGTGTTCTGAAAAGTCATAAAGCAAAAACAGGTATTTCACAATATTTTTTGAAGGATAACGATGAAATCCATGATGAAAATGAAATTGTAAATGGATTCAATCATCATTTTGTGAACGTTGGATCAAGACTTGCAGCTAAAATACCAAAAGTAGACAATAATGTGAACCATTCAGTTATAAGTTGTGACAACAGTATTTTTCTTAATGGAACTGACAAAGAAGAAATAATGAATGTAGTAAAAAATCTTACAGATAAGAGATCAAAAGACTGGGTGGACATGGATATGATGTTTGTAAAGGACATAATGAGTTATGTTATCGAGCCGTTTACATATATTTGTAATTTATCATTTTCAAAAGGAATATTTCCAGACAATATGAAAGTAGCTAAGGTAGTTCCTCTCTTTAAAAATGGTGATAAATGTGTGTTCAATAATTATAGACCAATATCCTTATTACCACAGTTCTCAAAAATTCTAGAAAAACTATTTGTGACCAGATTAGATAAATTTATTATTAAACAAAACATTCTAAGTAGCAGTCAGTATGGGTTTAGAGCAAAAAACTCTACATCAATGGCTCTCATGGAATTAGAACAAATAACTACTGCTGTCGATCAAAAACAGTATTGTGTTAGTATTTTTGTTGATTTAAAAAAAGCATTCGATACTATTGACCACACTATTCTCCTTGAAAAATTAAATAAATATGGTA